GAGAGAGAGAGAGAGAGAGAGAGAGAGAGAGAGAGAGAGAGAGAGAGGCATGTGGCCCTGTACCATTTTTTGTCATGTTATTGAGCCTCAGTTTCCTGACTTATAAAGAGTATTCCACATCTCTTTGATCATTCTGAGACAGAAATATAATGAACGTTGGTAAGAACATGATGGGCAAGGGTTTGGTGACATCGTGTATTCCCTGAGCCTGAGCCCATATCCTCCAAGACCCCCTCCTCCCTGCATGAAAGGAAACCCTTTCCACCACCATCTCTACGGAGAACATTCCTGGTCATCCTTCCTGTACCAGATGTTGTCTGGGAAGCCAGGGCTTATGTATGCTCCAGCTGTTCTAAGGATAGTGCTAGGCTCACTGCTGCATGAGAGTGTACCCTTTTGAAAAGGCTGGTTTCCCGGCCTCCCTCTGACATGAAGATTGTTGTTTGAACACAGCAGGGCTGAAACTCCACACAAGGTCTAGGGCAGCCTAGATTCTATCTCCCACCTGTCTTTGTTAGGAACTAGGACCATGACATTGGCCTTGAGAGCTGACTGGAGCTCGAGGCTTGGAAATCAACACTCTATCAGTCATTTCGTGTGTGTGTGTGTGCGTGTGTATGTGTGTGTACACACACACATACACATGCACACACATGTATCATGTATGCATGCATCTCTGCATGAATGTGTACACACCTACACAGCAATGATTTGGTGCTCTTCCCAACATCCGAGAGCATGCAAAGGGACGGAAGATGAGTGAGGTATGTGCTCCTCTAGGCCTCATGGCCCCATTGTAAATGGTTATGAGGACAGAGAAGACACCATTGTCACACCAGCATGCTTAAGAAGGCACCTTTCTGCTTCCTTCTGTCCCAAAGTCATTGGGACAGGAACCTGCTGGTGACAAGGTACTGCAGAAGGGTTGTTTGTTTCCAGTGAGTCTGTTGCCTTGAATTTGGGTGGTGACATGGATGGGGCTTTAGCTTAGGTTACAAATTGCCTAGCCCACAGCATCTAAAGGCAGTGAGACAAGGGGCAAGGCTTCTGTGACAAGTGTGGGAGCTGGAGTGGGGAGGAGAGATGTTCTGACAAAGAGCATGAGATGGATGAGCAACTGAAGGACATTTCCTCTGTCTGTCTGTCTGTCTGTCTGTCTGTCTGTCTGTCTGTCTCTGTGTGTGTGTGTGTGTGTGCACATGCATACATGTATGTGTGTATGTCTATCTGTGTAGGAGTCTGAATCAGAGCCTGAGTTTCTCAGTCATGGCCAAGTTCACCAGGTTTATTGCTTCCTGTGACCTCATAATGGATTGTTGCTCCCTGGAAGCTTGCAGTTCCCAGGTCCTGTCTATCTCCTGTGTCCACTGAATCCAGGAGACACGGAGATAAGTAAAACACCATGGCTGAGCTTCAGGCTGCTTCTAGACAATGGGCTCAGGATAGAGACTGAGGGGACAACTTCCAGACTGGCCATGGGAAGGACTGTGGGACTGTGAGAAATGACTTCTGTGTGGCTTCAAGGGGCCTGCAGGAAAAGCCATGGAGAAAGCTCAAGGCCTTTGTCTCTTTTATGATTATGGCAATGGAGCTCAGGCAAGGCAAGCTGTAGAATGGCAGTGGTCAACAGGAAGCCAGAATTTTGGGATTTTAGGGATGGGGAGCTGATGAGAGGTTCCTGAGTGTAGTGACATTTTTGAGAGTTCTGGAATTTTGAATTCTTTAAAAAATACTATAAGAATGGGCTTTCATTTTAATCCCAGGTGTGGGATGTAGGGCTGCTTTGGGCTGTCTGCAGCTGACTATGATCTGTCTCGTGCTTTAGTAGAAGTGTGGTTTTGCCAGCTGCAGATAGTTTCTACAATTGTGTGATGTGTGGAATTCTGGGAACTTTTCAAAGGATATATAAATGCTAGAGCCCCAATAGTAGCTGTGGTCAAAGAAGAAACAAAAGGAAAGAAAGTAGATTCCGGGATATTCATTCATTCATTCTCTCTCTCTCTCTCTCTCTCTCTCTCCCTCCCTCCTCCCCCCTCCTTCTTTTTCTTCCATCTAGTGATGGGTGAAACTAGGGGATAAAGGGTGGGAAAAGAAGAACCCACACATTAGCAAAGACCCACTATATCTGAAGAACTTTCTTCCCTAGAGCCTCTCTGCTTCTAACTGGGAGAAGGAGGAGGAGGTGGGAAAATCTGGGCTTCTTTATGCCCTTTGAGACCTCTAAGGAAATAGATGCTTACAGGCTGAGACACCTCAGAAACGAGTAGCTGGCCCACCAGATAGCTCTATGCTTCTTCCTGGGAGTTGGGGACTCTATGTGTGACCCAGCAGCAACTCATGCTTTGGAGCTGGCCTCCTGCATTGGTGATCCTCCATGGGAGCACCTTCAAGCATTCCCTCAGTAGAGGCAGTATGTACAGTCAACTGTGCAGAGGGAGAACTCGCTGCCCGAGCGATGCTGGTGACAGGGGGAACACTTACTGGTAAAGGTGATGTTGAAGCCCCTCTTCCCTGTGGAGTGGTCAGTCTGGAACTCTAGACGGGCCACATGGCCACTGCTGGTGATGGAGGAGGGGAGCTGATTTCCCGAGAAGGTACCAAGGACTGGGGCCTCAGCAGTGGCTCCGTCTTTAATAACCAGGAAGTCAAACTGAGGCTCCACGTCTATGTCATTGAAGGCCAGGTGGATGCGGCTCTCAGGCCGGGCCAGGATAAGCCAGACACAGTGGAGATGGTTGCCGTAGTCTTCAGGGTAGTTGGGAGACAGGACGATTCCAGAGGGACTGGTGAAGTTGAAGAAGCAGGAAACTGAAACAGAAGAGCAGTGGAAGTCACGAGGTATCCGCCATATTTTGCAGGGGCCACTGAGGGCTGACATTGGACACATTTTCTTAGTCTTCAGAGAAACGGAAAGAATGAACAACACCAGAGTTGGGCCGGACTGGCTGGGCTCAAGGCTGTATGTGGGAGGCATGCTGATTTCCATGCTGGGCATAGCGTCGAGTGTCCCTTTGGCCAGAGCAGATATAGCGAAGTTGTTTTTTTAATTAGTCTCTTTTCTTTCAATATTCCCATCCTAGGCAACTTTCACTGCCCTTGGTCCCTTGTTCTGGGGGAAGAACTTGTCATTCAAGCCCACTTGAAGAGGCAGAGCCCCTGACCCCTTCTCAGCTTGCTTTATGGTAGTAGAAAAGGACATGGCTTAATGATACAGGGGTGACAATCTCCCAATAGAGAGAGGATCCACATCCATCTCTTTCTGCCAAATGTCTTTGATGGGAGATGATTCACTCCAGACCCATAAGGACTCTAACCCCTCCAAACTAAAGCCACACTATACTAGTGAGCACCAAAGCCTTCAAAGAACAGGGTACGAGACCCGTGACAGGGTCTAGATGCTCTGCCCACTTCCTGTCATCTCTCCCCACTATACTCTGAGGATCCACTCTTCTGGAAGCCTTGAGCCATCCTTATGCCAATTCCTAACAGACCCTACAGGGAGAATGAGGGAGAATATCACATGCATGGAAAAGCGAACCAACGTACGAAGCCAACGTTCAGAAGGGGATTGACAAGATGGAGAGACAAAGAATTGCAATAGCTGTGACAGGCTATGGGGACATCTCATTATTGACAAGGGCTCTTTCTGTTACTCTAGGACAGTTCCCCAAGTCAAGCCAAAGTGCACTCAGAGAATTTGGATAAGCAGAACCACTGTGAAGATGTAGGGTGCAGCACGAGAGAAAACACCAAGAAAGACCCTAAAAACTCTGCCCCACTGAGAGTGTGGGAGCTCACATACACACCCACACATGCACCCACACACGCACCCATTGCACGTTGCCAACTCAGGTTGATGTAATCCTTTTGGAAGGGAGTGTATGATTTCTTATTAAGAGTTGTGGACCACTCGAACACTCCCGGCTCATAATGTCTAGGAATTAATTCAAAAGGAAACGAGGCACAGGGACAAAGACGTTGATGGTGACATAATTCTATCCCAGAGGAAAAATGCCAACCACCTATATGTCAGTCCAATAAAAGAAAGAAAATTACAGCCTTTAATGTGGCACGGTGTGAAGGCCGTCATTAAAGTGATAAATACGGCCCTGTGGAAAGAGTGCTAACTATCGTTTTAAGTAAAATAGTAGGTCATAAAATTATACGTGTACTCTTGATGATAGCTATTAAATGCTTGTTTATATATGGATAAAGATTGGACAGTCGCCCCCAAATAAAAACCGCATTAGGGTTGTAGGTTTCTGGGTGACTTCTTTTGAGATGAAATTACCTTTAATTTTTGTGGCTGTAATTGTGGCCCAGGCTCATTGCAAACAAACAGGACGATGAAGAGATAAAACTGAACACAAGCAACTGTGCAAGTCCCCCTTTAACACTGATAGTTACTCGTGGTGTTAATAAGACTGATACTCCGGGGTTGGGGAGGTGGTTCAGTTGGTGAGCATGATCTCATGAAGAGCCAAGTTCAGTCTCCAGCATCTCTGTGAAAAGCAGGGTGTGGTAGGGGTATACATTTGGAATCCCAGTACTGGGGAGGTGAAGAGAGGATATCTTCTACGGCTTGCTGGCCAGCCACCCTAGGCTAATCAGTGAGCTCCAGGTTTCAGGGAGAGACCCTGAAATAGCAAGGAGGATGGCACTGGAAAAAAGATACGGCAGGTTGGCCTCTGCCTCTATACACATATGCACATGTGCATGAACGCCCACCCATACACACCCACGCAGGAATACACAACTCTACAGAAACAAACATGCACATGTATTCCCACATATACACACTCCCTCATACCCACACAAGTAATACGGATGCTTGGATGAATATATTTGGGTTGCTGGCACAAGCCTTAGTCCCAGCACTTGGAAGGCAGAGGCAAGCAGACCTCTGAGTTTGAGGCCAGCCTGGTCTACAGAGTGAGTCCCAGGACAACCAGGGTTATACAGAGAAACCTTGTCTCAGAACCAAACAAAATTAAAAAAAAAAAAGGAGAGAAAAAGAAAATGAACATGCAGGAAATATGGACCCCAGTTTCATGCTGGTTCTGCCTGCCCCACTGACATTCTTTTCTGAAGGAAGTATTTCCTTTTCTAACCTCTGCTAGAAGCTCTCCTGTTCAATTCAGCAGCAACAACAACAAAAAGGCCCAGACCCTAAGATCTAGCCAGTTTATCCTTGCATTACTAAAGTATAGAAAGAAACGAGCCAAGGGGAGAGAAGGACATAGAAACACTTTTAGGGAGTGCAAGATAAAGTTATCGGTAGTGATTATTATATATTATTGAGCTTTTAATAAGTATAGACACTGTTCTAAGTATTTCCATTACAGACTCAGTTTAGCTATCACAGTAACACCACAGGGTAGATACTGCCATTGACCTCATTTAAAGATGAAGACACTGAGACACAGGGAGGGTAAGTGGTTTGCCAAGGTCACAAAAGCTCGTGAATGGCCGCACCAAATTTCAGTCTAAGCAACCTGCCTCCAGGAAGACAGCTCAGCTACCCCTTCACATTGTCTCCCTTCAGGAAACAAGAATGTCCACGGGGTCTGAGTCTGCCAGCAGAGTCCTTGAGGAAGCTCCTGACATCTGCAGGAGATCTACCTGTGTAGCCAGGCATCATGACAGCACTAAATTAGATTCAATAGGGATGTCCACACAACAGCCATGCTGGCTCCAGATTTGGGTGAGTCCAGATGGGGCATCATAGAAATGATATCCAAAGGTAAGGACCTTCAAGACAGACAGGAGACAGCCTGTGATACAGTCTAAGATGTACTGAAGACAAAGACACCCATGATTTTTAGCCAAAGATGAGCTGGGATACAGGAAACATGTGCATGAACAGATCTGATATGAGAATTTAATTCCTAGAACTTGAACCCAGCACCCCAACATGGGCATCACCACTCCAGCATTGCCACACCAATGCCAACATCAGCACACCGGTATCACCATCCCAACACTTGAATAATTTGTCTTTCTACACAAAGGAACCATTTGCCTTGTTTCCCCTGTGGTGCTGGGAAGTGAACCCAGAACCCCTTACATGGTAGATAGGCATTCAACCACTGGGCTACATCCCTAGACCTTTAGGGGTACCATTTGGGACCCTGAGAGCAGTTATACATAACACCTTTGCTTCTCTGGACAATCATCTTGTTTGTCACTTGGTCAGCACATTTTAGACTTGACCTTTTCAGCGTATCACATTACCTCCCAGAAGATACTGAGAACAGAAAATTTGCCCCGCTTGATCCTTTTGAACTTCTAATGGCTCTCATAGCATCTGGCACACAATAGTTGCTCGATGAATGCTTACTGGACGAATCAATGAGCATCATACACCCTGAAAAGACCGTGACATGAAGATGTCAACCTGACAAGTCATCTGATTCCAAAGCTCAGGCAACTGAGTTGACCAAACTCTGTAGAAATAGAAGGACGCTTGAGTCATGTCGAGATCCTAGGGAGAATAATGTGGAGTGACCCTTCAGGTACTTCTCTGAGACATGGTACAGATGTGGTCTCAAGTCATGTAAGGGTGTGACCCAGCCAGACTGTTAGAGCCAAGATGACAGGATGGTGCTCTCAGATAACAGAGGTTTCAAGGAATAGAGTATTCATATGAATGTCATAAAATGCCACTTGGAGGTTGTTATTTTTTCCCCTCTATGTAACAAAGAGATAAATCAAAATGAATAATTAAAGTAACAGAAAGGTGTGGTTCAAAAAAAAGTCAGCAAGGAACAAACACAGTAATGAATCTGGATAACTGCTATGAAGGTAGTTGTAAAATGAGATGGGAACATAACAAATGTTCTTTGGAAGAGAACACATGCAATATCATTCCAGTCAGAACCCTGGGGTAAAATATTTCAGATTCTACTGATATCATGGGGAAAGGTGGAGTGAGGAGATATGCTAATTTCCTCATCTTGCAAGAAAGTCTGTTTTATAGTTTCTGTGGTTAATTAGAGAAATATAGGTTAGAGCATGTATTTAAAGATGTTAAGTGTAATTAGTAATAGAATATGAAGTAGCTTATCTTCAAAATTACCAAAAGGGGAGAAAGCAAAGCAGTCAATTTAGAAAGAAAAAAAAACACAGTAGAATTCAAAGGAAAAGCCCGTGGATGTTTAAGGAGAGGATGCAAAGCAGGAAGCTTTAAAAGGAGGACAGAATGTCATTTAGAACAACAAATGTGTGCAGGCTTCCCTGCTAGTAAAACAAATCCCTCAAATCGAGATGAGACACACAGCTAAGATAAAGTGACCCTGAACAGTTGGCAGGAATAGCCACTCAACATTTACCCAGAAGGTTCAAGTTCACCACTGTTTGGGTCCCCAAATATTCTTATTCAGTCAATGAAAGGAGCCCAGACATTAGGGTACTCTTCAACAGCAGCCAGGGTAAAGAAGTTCTAGGGGTTGGAGGACTGACTCAGTGAGCAAAATGCCTGTTATGCAATGGGGAAGACTTGAGAACCCAGCCCCCGTGGGCAAGCCAGGCGCAGCAGGTACAGGTGGGTACTTCCAGTGTTAGGGTGGGGATGGGCAGATCCCTGAGGCTCACTGGCCAGCTGGCCTAGACCAATCAAGGAACTTCAGGTTCAGTGAGAGGTGCTGCCTCAAAAATAAGGTGCAGAGTGATTGAGGAAGATATTTGAAGTTGACCCCTGACCTTCGTATGCATGTATACCTGCATACAACACATATACCACACATACACCTCACATGTACCACAATACATTTCACACACATACATACGCATGCACACACACACAGACA